GGGCCCGACCACCCACCCGTCCCAGGCCGGCCACTCCCCGGGGTGAAGCTACCGGCGTGCGGAGCCTTGGGGTCACCAGGCACCGACAACTCGCTGGTCCCGCCTGTGGCCGCGGGGGCCTTCGCGCTCCCGGCTGCAAAGCGCCCCCAGGAGCCCCGCGCTGACTCCCACCACATCTCACTCCCCGTCTCCAGAAAACTTCCCGAGCGTGTTTATAAAAGACAACGCTGACGCAGGGAAATGAAGCCAGGCCTAGAGCCAGGCGGGACACGAAACGCTCACGGGGGCTTGCACAAAGACACTTGTCCACACTTCCAGCTCCCTTGAGGGAACCGTGCAATCCCTTCCTTTCAGGGGACAACTCTCAGGAGACAGCCGCCCTCCCGGCCACAGGGGTCACTGCCCCCGCCAAAGGTGGCTCCGTGGGATTGCACAACTGCCTCCTGGGTGTTCCAGCAACCGGACACTGCCAGGGCAGACCTCAGCTCTAAAAAAGCACAGCCTGGTGACAGATCAGCGACCTGACGCAAGATTCCTCCGCTCAAGTTAAGCGGCGTGCTCCGACTCGGTCAATTCTGAGCGGGTGGAGAATCAGAAGAGGGGATCAGCAAACACAGAACCTCGCCAGGGCCCGCTTGAAAGCGGCGAGCTTTTATAGTATGGAAAAAAAAAATACTCCAGCAAATGTTAAGTTTACAACAAGCACAAGGAACGTTGCCTTGGAAGCGCTGCAGCCAGCCCTCACGGGAGGGTACAGAGGCAAGTCCCTGCCAGTCTGCGGATCTCCCATCTCCCTCACCTCCATCAGATGAATCACCAGCTCTTCCTCCAGACAGCCTTTCAGAAAGCCTCCTGCTGCTGTAAGGTCAGTTTTTCAGAGATAAGAACACGTGCAAGGAATGGCGAAGTCACGCTTTGTTTTGAACACCGACCCCGTAGTTCCAAAGGGCCGGCTCGCACACGCATACCCTCATTCCCCAAGAAACACGTCCCCTGTGCCGCCTCACAATACTGAGTATCACGAGAGAGACACCCAGGCAGAGGCACCTACAGGCTCCTTCTCCTTAGCCGCAATTTCTATGCTTTTTGCACCAAAAAGACAGAAGTAACTCCTACAAAAGCTGTATCACGGAGTCTTCTACCTACCATTTCCCTCCTTTTTTCTTTTTCAAACTTCCTGAGCTCCACAGATATCTGCTGCCACACTATGACCTTCCTGACTCATCACATCCACCTGATGGCAACACAGAATTATTTAGTGTGAGAGACAAAAGACACATCAATAACCAACAGAGGACATTAAACCTAATTAAATTCAAATTAAAGGCTTAGTAAGAGCAATTAACCCATACAGCCACAACGCAATGGGGTAGCAAAGACGTATCCAGCACCTCCCGACACCCTCAGATCAAGCCTGGAAGCCTCCTGCAGGTGTGCTTCGGTTAATGCAAGTGACGAAACACACACAGAAATCGGGGGTAACGCAGACACTTTAGGGAGTCCCACACGGGACCCAACTGGGTGATCCCAAACTGGTAATCCAAGACCCAACACCTCCCCACCTGCTGCTGCCTTCCACCGGCTGCTGGGGGGGAGGAAGGCTTCCTCTTCAAAAAAGTTGCTGCACACCTCTACACTTACCGTTTATTGATTATTTATTCTATTTGGTGGAGACAAATCCATTGACTACTTCACGGAGCTTCCCCCCCCCCAAAAGACACCCAGCTCCTCTTTTTCCAGCTTCAAGTATCTTTGGGCAAGTCCCAGTTACTGCTCACGGTAACAAAACCCCGGCTTCCACAGGATTCACCTTTTCCCACACAGAACAAAGTCGCAGTGGCAAAACCTGCAGGAGGACAGGAGCACTCACTCCTCCGCAGGTTACAGAAACGAAGCCACAGGGACGTTGTAGAAAGCTTTATGTGGGGGTATTTAAAAACCAAACCAAACCAACCAAACCAGTGGTTTTTCCGTGCTAGCTCAGTAAAAATATCAGCTCCGCTGCGCTTCATGCTGTACAAAAAATACAAGCCAATCTCAGCCACAAAGAGATCCTTTGTTCGTACTCAGAAAGCTAATTCTGCAAGCAGACAGGCAAGAAACGATCAAAGGTGCCGGGCACAAGAGTGAACAGGTCTGCCCAGGACAGCGGCTCGCCGGGCAGGCCCCGGAGTCCCGGCTCGCCGCTACCAGCGACAGGCAAAGGGGCTCAGGGAGAGGAGGTGCGGAGGCTGCCAGTCTCTTCCAAAAGCCTCTTCCCGTTTCCCTTCCTCAACATTTCCCAGTGACAACAAGAGCTCCCAGGCACTGGCTGAGCAGCTTCCCACAACATCACTAGAACACGGTATTTTCAAGTGATCAAGACCGAATAAGAACAGAAGGAGTATCCAGCACATAGCTTGTTTTTCAAAGTTTTAAAAAGATACACAAAGAGCAGGCAGACCCCGAGGAAGCACCACCTTTCCCAAGGACGGCAGTTATAGCAGTAAAGTCACCTTTGCAGATCAAACTACTTCTAGAACCGTTTCTGACCGCATCTGCAAGTCCCAAATTCTTGAATTTTTCCAAGCCGTGCAGACAACGTGGGTAACCTTATCCCCCGGCCCCTGAACCTCACAGAGAAAAGGTACTTTCCCCGCAGGCAAAGCCAGAGGGCACCCACGCTCTTAAATCTCCATTTTCTGTGACCACCTCCGTAACACGCAGCGCAGAAGGGTACCAAGGGTCACAGGAAGAAAACGGTTCCTCTGCACAATCTTTATTCTCGGCCACTCTAAGAACTGAGGTGGCACCAAAGGGTCACACCGTCATGCACAGGTCAACAGCAACAGTAGGAAAAACCTTGAAACTCCTACAAGCATTACAACTGCCAGCTGCCAGCTCGAGCGACGCGCACTACCAGGCAAAATAAAAGAAACAGGTGAGTTAAGGAACCATTTGACAGCACGCTTGTCCGCACTGCCCCCCCAGAAGGGACGAGCCCACAGAGGGAAAGCTCCCTAAAGAGCAGTGGCACGCTCGGACGTCCAAAGGGCCAATTCACACGGACAAGTCACCGTCAGTTACAGCCTTCACGTCAGGGCGACAGTCCTCTGCGCCTGCAGGCTGCACGCTGGCCCCACACCAGGAAAAAGGCGCGCCGAGGCGAGACTATACCGTAAAACTGGGACAGGGGGTTTTATGGCACCTCACCACATCTGGTAAGAGCCACTTTAGCCAGACGGCAAGAAAATGACACTTTTACCCATTTTCCATTTACAAGGCGGTGCTACCGCGCGGGCCTCGGCAGGATCCACTCGTCCAGCCGCTCGCTCAGCCCCCACGGGGCGACGCCAACGGGCTCTCCAGGAAAGGCCGCTCGCCCTCAAGACAACGACGTGCCTCAGCTACGCTTGTGTCGGTCAGGCTTCTGCAGAGGCCACCCTGCAACCCAGCAGCACCCCGGGCTTTCTCTGCAGCTTGTCCTGGCAGAACCATCCCCTAGAACCGGCGGCTTCATCAAGAGAAACACCCTCCGCTCCGCTGCTGCCCAGACTGGCGGGGCGAGAGCCAAGCACCCTCCCCCTTCTACCCCCTCATGCCAAACTCGAGCCAAACCGAATCACGTTGCGAACAAGGGACCTCGATGTCAGCGTGGTTTCCTTAATCAAAAGGGACGTGTGTTTAACGCGCAGAGGAAAAGCACGGATGCACACGCGTTTGTGCTGAAGCGGATTTCTGGAACAGCTCCAGCAAAGCCGGGATTTAGCTGCGCTTTTCCAGGTACAAACGCGTCTCTTCCTGCGAGGGTGGAATTTAACAAAAACCTGATTTGCCCCCCTGGCCTAACATAGGCAGTCGCAGCTTTCCATGCTGATTTTCTGGACCGAGCACGCCACAAAACAAACTCCCTGGTCAGCAGAACTTCGGCGTAACAACTCTGGCCTTCTGTGAGGATGACCAGAAAGCACACGGGCAGAAAAGGCCTCTTCCAGGACTGGAGGAGGGGGAACTAAACGCAGCGATGCTGATAAAACAGCCAGATCGAGCAGGAAAGTCTCCCTGCAGGCAGTGGGCTCCCAGGGTGCCAGAGGACACCTCCAAAGTGCCCACCCGGTCAGCTGCAAGGGTGCTGCTCGCTAGAGGGGCTGAGACCAGCGCTGAGAAAGGAGGCACCGCTGCCAAAAGTCACTGCTAGATCGCCAGGAAACAATCATTAATAGCACCCCAATACCAGGAAAAACACCTTTAGACACAGCTTACGGTTCCTCGACCTTCGCACCGGTGTGAGAGCACCGCACGCTGCCGATAACG